CTGCCTCATTCCCCCAGAGTGCTGGGATTACAGGCGTGAGCTGGGACATGGAACAGAGGGATGCCAAGACCATGAAGATGCTTTTGGACAATGATCTGAGGTTGAGACAGTGGCAGGAGACACCACTGACCCCAGGACACCATTCACCCCAGGAGATCGAGACACTATTAACCCTGGATCTCCAGGACAAGAGACCAGCCTGGCAGTTACATGTGTTTTTCTTCAAACTGGTTGCCAGGTTGGAATGACCCATGACATCAGAGATTCCAGCCTTCCTGATTGGACCGCACTCCGTGGGCGCTCGGAAACCCAGGTGCACAACAGCATCTTCTCAGAGCTGTTCTCCGCTCCTAACTTCTCCCCAGCCTTGAGAAGAGATCACGCACTTTTACTGGTCCTAATAGAGTGTGGAAGGTGGCTTTGGACAGAACAGGCACCAGGTTCCGTGGGAGGGAACAGAGTTTGGGAGACATCATGGCCAGGTGTCAACCGCAGCCCCAGCTTGAGGACAGGAGCCCCCAGCTTAGCACCTCGGGGCACTCCCTCCTGGAGGTGATAGATGATGAAGTGCCAGGACCATCAGGTGAGGTGACTGGAGGAAAAAGAGATGAGGGGGGATTGGCTAAGAAGAAGAAAGGGGGCCAGGCAAGGTGGCTCACACCTGTAATACCAGCATTATAGAAGAGTGAGGTTGGGTGGATCACCTGACGTCAGGAGTCAGAGATAAGCCTGGCCAATATGGTGAAAGTTTGTCTCTACTAAAATACAAACATTAGCTGGGTGGTAGTGGTGCGTGCCTGTAATCCCAGCTACTTGGGAGGCTGAGGTATGAGAATCGCTTGAGCCTGGGAGGCTGAGGTTGCAGTGAGCCGAGATCGCGCCCATGCACTGCAGTCTGAGGGAAAGACTGAGACCCTGTTTCAAAAAAAAGGAAGGGCCCACAAGCCAGGAAGAAGCTCCTGAGGAGGGTGTGTGGGAAGAAAGTGGGGACTCAGGCCGGGTGCAGTGGTTCACACCTGTAATCCCAGCATGCTGGGAGGCTGAGGTAGGCGGATCACTTAAAAACAGGAGTTTGAGACAGCCTGGCCAACATATTGAAACCCCATTTCTACAAAAAGTGCAAAAATGACCTGGGCTTTCCGATGGGCACCTGTAAGCCCAGCTACTTGGGAGGCTGAGGCAGGAGAATCACTGAACCCAGGAGATGAAGGTTGCACCACACTCCAGCTTGAGTCACAAAGCAAGACTCTGTCTTAAAAAAAAAAAAAAAAAAGGACTCAGAGAGCCAGGTACCAGAAAAGGAAATGAGGAAGCATTCTGAGGACAGACAGGTGGAAGAATGGGGAGGAGAAGGAGAGGCACATGGGGTTCATCTAGGGAGAAGCCAACAGCCTTCGGGGCTGGGGAGGATGGAGAGTGCTTTGGGGTTTTGGGTCAGGGTCTAAGGTGATGAACTGCAGAAGCATTAATTACACGGTGGCCTGCTTTCTTTACTCAGTCCCTTGGGTAGATCCCAGCACACCGAGTAAGTTCCTTTGCTGGAACTGGAAGAGGGAGTGGTCGGACCAATCTGAGGAGGAGCCTGAGGAGGAGACAGAGAAGGAGTGCGCCCCTGAGCCTGAGGAGACTTGGGTGCTGGACACCCTGTGTGGGCTCAAGATGAAGCTAAAGCGACAGCGAGTGTCACCCGTGCTCCCTGAGCACCCCAAGGCCTTCAGCAGGCTGCTTGGTAGGACACCCGAGAGAGCTCCTCCAAACCTGTTCTTTTAAAAAAGAGGAAACTTCCCATAACCATACTTTTCCCTTGGGAAAAATATGCCCCCCAGTGGATGAGCTCTCCACGTGGGAGGACTCAGAGGATCCTAAGCATCACTCATGAGGGACACTTAGGAGGCCATAGAGGACTCGGCTAGACTTGATAACGGTCTGTGATTGGGATAAGAAAGCTTGGTTTCGGCCAGGCGCAGTGGCTCATGCCTGAGATCCCAGCACATTGGGAGGCTGAGGCAAGAGCATCGCTTGAACTCAGGACTTGGAGGCTGCAGTGAGCTATGACGGCACCACTGCACTCCAGCCTGGGTGACAGTGCAAATCCCTGTCTCAGAACAACAACAAAGGCCAGGGACTTTAGCTCAGGCCTGTAATCCCAGCACTTTGGGAGGCCAAGTCGGGTAGATCACCTGAGGTCAGGAGTTGGAAACCAGCCTGACCAACATGGTGAAACCTCGTCTCTACTAAACATAATAAATTAGATGGGTGTGGTGGCGCACTCCTGCAATCACAGCTACTCAGGAGGCTGAGGAAGGAGAATCACTTGAACCGGGGAGACAGAGGCTGTAAGTGAGCTGAGATTTCGCCACTGCATTCCAGCGTGGGTGAAAAAATGAGACTGTCTCCAAAAAACAAACACAAATAAAATAAAGAAAAACAAAATCAAAAAATAGAAAAAGCAGTTTCAGCTGTGCCCTCTGAAACTTAATGTCGCTTGCTGACTTTTCTTTATTTTTTTCTTAGAGACGGAGTCTTGCCCTATCACTCAGGCTGGAGTGTAGTGATCTTTGCTCACTACAACCTCGGCCTCCTGGGTTCAAGCGATTTTCCTGTCTCAGCTTTCTGAGTAGCTGGGATTATAGGCCAGCATCACACCACGCCAGCTAATTTTTGATATTTTTAGTAGAGACGAGGTTTCACGGTGGTAGTCAGGATGCCCTTGAACTCCTGACCTCATGATCTGCTCACCTCCACTTCTCAAACTACGGGGATTACAGGCGTGAGCCACTGTGCCTACCCCCTATGCTTTTCTTCAACCTGGTTGCCAGGTGGGAATAACCAGTGACATCAGAGATTCCAGTCTTCCTGACTGGGCTGAACTTTGTTGGCGCTTGAGAGCTCAGGTGGATAACAGCATCTTCTCAGAGCTGTTCTCCACTCCCAACTGCTCCCCAGCCTTGAGAATACAGAACACACTCTGCTGGGTCCTAGTCGAGTCTGGAAGAAGGCTTTGGACAGAACAGGGACCAGGTTCTGTGGGAGGGAACACAGTTTGGGAGAGATCATGGCTAGATGTCAACCGCAACTCCAGCTTGAGGAGAGGAGCCCCCAGCCTAGCACCTTGGGGTACTCCCTCCTAGAGGTGGTGGATGATGAAGTGCCAGGACCATCAGGTGAGGGGACTGGAGGAAGAAGAGATGGGAGAGGACTGACTAAGAAGAAGGAAGGGGGCTGGGCGCAGTGGCTCACACCTGTAATCCTAGCACTTCGGGAGGCTGAGGTGGGTGGATCACCTGAGGTCAGGAGTTTGAACCCAGCATGGCCAACATGGTGGAACCCCGTCTCTACTAAAAATACAAACATGATCCTGGCAGTACTGGTGCACACCTGTAATCCCAGCTACTCAGGAGGCTGAGGCAGGAGAAGCACTTGAGCCTCACAGGCAGAGGCTACAGTGAGCCGAGATCCTGCGACTGCTCTCCAGTCTGGGTGAGGGAGTGAGACCCTGTGTCATGGAAAAAAAAAAGAAGAAGAAGGAAGAACCCAGTCATCAGAAAGGGACACTTGAGGGGGATGTGGGGGAAGAAAGAAGGGACTCAGGCCAGGCACAGTGGCTCACACCTGTAATCCCAGCACTTTGGGAGGCCAAGGCGGGTGGATTACTTGAGGCCAGGAGTTTGAGACCAGCCTGGCCAACATGGTAAAACCCCATCTCTACAGAAAATACAAAAATGAGCTGGGCATTATGGTGGGCACCTGTAATCCAGGCTACTGGGGTGGGTGAGGTAGAAGAATCACTGGAACCCGAAAGATGGTCAGAGAGCCAAGTTGGCAACACTACATTCCAGCCTGAGCGACAGAGAAAGACTACATCTCAAAAAAAAAAAAGGAGGGAGTGAGAGATCCAGGGACTAGGGAAGGAAATGAAGCATTCTGAGGACAGACAGATGGAAGAACAGGGAGGAGAAAGAGAGGCACATGAGGTTCAGTAAGGGAGAAAGATGGCTTGCAGAAGACAACAGTCTGCGGGGCTGGGAGGATAGAGAGTGGTTTGCGGTTTGGGGTCGGGGTCTCAGGTGATCAAGAACAGAAGCATTGCTTTCTTTTTTTTTTTTTGTTGAGACGGAGTTTCGCTCTTGTTACCCAGGCTGGAGTGCAATGGCGTGATCTCGGCTCACCGCAACCTCCGCCTCCTGAGTTCAGGCAATTCTCCTGCCTCAGCCTCCCAAGTAGCTGGGATTACAGGCACGCGCCACCATGCCCAGCTGATTTTTTGCATTTTTAGTAGAGACGGGGTTTCACCATGTTGACCAGGATGGTCTCGATCTCTTGACCTCGTGATCCACCCGCCTCGGCCTCCCAAAGTGCTGGGATTACAGGCGTGAGCCACCGCGCCCGGCCAGCATTGCTTTCTTTACTTGTCTCCTTGGGTAGATCCTGGTACGCCTAATATCCTTTGCTGTAAAAGGAAGAGGGAGTGGTCGGACGAATCTGAGGAGGAGCCCGAGGAGGAGACAGAGAAGGAGCACGCCCCTGAGACTGAGGAGACCTGGGTGCTGGACACCCTGTGTGGGCTCAAGATGAAGCTAAAGCGACGGCGGGTGTCACCCGTGCTCCCTGAGCACTATGAGGCCTTCAACACGCTGCTTGGTAGGAGGACACCCCAGAAAGCACCTCCAATTCTGTTCTTTTAAAAAAGAGGAAACTTCCCATAACCATACTTTCCAAACGGGAAATGCCCCCAGTGGGTGAGCTCTCCATGTGGGAGGACTCAGAGGATCCTAAGCATCACTCATGAGGGACATTTAGGAGGCCAAAGACGATTTGACTAGACTTGATAAAGGTCAGTGATAGGGATAAGAAAGCTTGGTTTCTCAGGCCAGACATGGTGGCTCATGTCTGAGATCCCAGCATATTGGGAGGCTGAGGCAAGAACATCACTTGTACTCAGAACTTTGAGGTTGCAGTGAGCTATGACTGCACCACTGCACTCCAGCCTGGGTGACAGACCAAAACCCTGTCTCAGAAGAAAAACCAAGGCTGGGTGCAGAAGCTCATGCCTGTAATCCCAGCACTTTGGGAAGCCAAGGTGGGTAGATCATCTGAGGTCAGGAGTTTGAGACCAGCCTGATTACCATGGTAAAAGCCCATCTCTACCAAAAATACAAAAATTAGACGGGCATGGTGGTGCACGCCTGTGATCCCAGCTACTCAGGAGGCTGAAAGAAGAGAATTGCTTGAACTCAGGAGGCAGGGGTTGCAAGTTATCCGAGATCGTGCCACTGCATTCTTTCCTGAGAGACAGAGTAAGAGTTCACCTCCAAAAAAAAATAAAAAGAAAGAAAAACTCAAAAAACAAAGCGGTTTTAGCTGTGCCATCTGAAACTTAATGTCCCTTGCTGGCTTTTCTCATTCATTCATTCACTAATTCATTCGAGATGGAGTCTACCTCTATCATCCAGGCTGGAGTGCAATGGCGCAATCTCGGCTCAATGCAACCTCTGCCTCCCAGGTTGAAGTGATTCTCCTGCCTCAGCCTCTCGAATGGCTAGGATTAGAGGCCAGCACCACCACGCCTAGCTAATTTTTTGTATTTTTTAGTAGAGATGAGGTTTCACCATGTTAGGCAGGATGGTCTCCAACTCCTGACCTCATGATCTGCCCGCCTCAGCTTCCCAAAGTGCTGGGATGACAGGTGTGAGCCACCGTGCCTCACC